TACATGAGTCAATGGCTGCCTGCTGTCTCCTGGGGTCTACCCAAGCAGGAAGCAGGGAGCCAGAGCCAGGACTCAGAGCTGGGATGTGGGCATCTTCATTGCAGGGTCCCGTGTCTGCCCCAGCTATGTGAGTAGCTCCTGATAGAGTCTCTCTCCCTAGGACCCTCTGTCTTAACCCAGGGAAGAGGGATGGCAGGTGGTGGCCAGACTGGGGTGGACGAAGTTGGGGCTGCAGCAAAGTGAGCTAGAGGCTGGGCCTATGGTATTGCTCAAGGTCTCGGCTGGGAGCTTGGAATATTTTCTTTTTTCCCTAAAGGCTGGCAAAGTTCATGTATATTTGCTGATTTTATTTGCATTTTAAAAGATCATCTTGTAGCTGGCTGCCTGGTGGGGTGTGGGTGGTGGGGGTAGGGAAGGTGGGGGTGGTGGTGTGTAGAGGAGAGTGACAGGACCCCAGGGTGTGTGTGAAGGGAGTGAGGGGGAGAATCATCTTGGGTGAGGCCCAAGGAGAAGCGAAACATAAATTCTCTGCATCTATCTGCAGGACTGGACACAGGCTTGCTTCTGACCACCAAAACATATACTGCAAGGAGCAACACTGCACACTCTTGTCCCCAACCTGGCCCCTCCCCGCCCCCCCCTCACCAAGAGGCTGCTGTTCCATCCCTACCCAGGCTCAGTGCTGTGCCTCCTCCACCCCACCCAGGCAGCTGCAGGAGCATCAGGGGACACAAGCATCCCACATGGTTCACCCGGAGGCCCTGCACCTGCTGCAGGCACCTGGCTGGCTTTCCATAAACAGATGCAAGCAGTGCACAGCCTGAGATGGCATGGCAGGAGCGGGTGGTGTCCCAAGGGGACCCCTGTGCCTTTCTCTCCGACCCTGAGGCCTGTGCCTTTCTAATGATGAAGACCCTGTAAATGGACGGCGTGGTCCTGAGGGGCTGTGTTTGGTGGATAGCATAGCTTTGCTGCATAGCAAGATTGCCCAGGAACCAGGGTCAACTCTGCTAGTGCCTGGCTGACTGGTCACTGATGAGAGCATCCTCTCATCTCTTAAAAGGGTACATGGTTTCAGCCACCTCTTTCTCTGTTCCCAGACCAAGCAGTCCCACCATCTGCATGGGAGCCGGGGAGAGGAGCTTCATCTTCTTAGGGGAAGGACACCCATGGTTTGGATAACAAGGTATGGAGAGTCCCTCAGCCTCTGTCCACAGACAGCTCTGGATTCAGGGATCTGTGTGAGGGGTTGACTTCATGCCCCACCTCTACTGGCTGACCTGCATGGAGGCTGAACTCCAAGTTCTAGTGCATGGGCCTTCCTTGAGTGTGCTGTGGGATCAGGGCCAGAGTCAGGACAGGCGTGAGCAAGCCCCTGCCAGGGGCTTGGTGGCACACCTGCAGGAAGCCTTAGCATCCTAGCTCAGAGCTCCTGGGTGCCAGGGCCACACCTGAGGCAGCCAGGAGAGTGTCTCATATCAGGATGGCGCTCTGTGCCTGGGCTCCCAGTGTGCTTCCCAGTACGACCCACTGTCAGCCTCTTTGAAGGGCTCAGGGTGTGCCCTAGGCTGCTCCCTCCTCTCCAGGGCTACAGAGGCTACCCAGCATAGTACTGGGCCCAGCCATCCCTCAGCACAGGAACTAGGGAATTAATGCACAACATGCCCAGCCCAGCTCAACAAGCATTTCCTGCGCATCTACTATATGCTTGGTCTCTGGCCCTGGCTCTGTTAACACTGGGGACAGGGGTAGGTTCCTAGTCAAAACTCAGCTCCTGTCCTTTCAGAAACTATCCCTGGCCACTGAAAGAGGAGGTGATCTGCTTGGATCTGGGCCAAAAATGACATTTCAGGGGCCAGCCTGGTGATGCAGCAGGTTAAGCTCCCATATAGGAGCAACACTTCAAGTTCCAGCTGCTCTGCTTCCAATTCAACTTCCTACTAACGCACCTGGGAAAGCAAGTCCTTGGGCCCCTCTACCCGTGAGAGAGACCGGGGTGGAGTGCCATGCTCCTGCCTTTTGTCTGATCCAACTCTGCTTATTGCAGTTATGCAGGGAGTGAACCAGCAGATATAAAACTCATAAGATTATAAGATATAATCCTTCTAATTATCTAACTTAATTTTCTAGTTAGACACTTTTCTTTAAGAAAATGACATCCTGGGCCTGTTGCAACAGCTCAATGGCTAGATCTTCACCTTGTAAGTGCTGGGATCTCATATGGGCATCGGTTTGTGACCTGGCTGCTCCATTTCCCATCCACCTCCCTGCTTGTGGCCTGGGAAAGCAGTAGAGGACGGCCCAAAGCCTTGGGACCCTGCACCCATGTGGGAAACCCAGAGGAGGCTTCTGGTTCCTGGCTCTGGATCGGTTCAGCTCTGGTCATTGTGGCCATTTGGGGAGTGAACCAGCGGATGGAATATCTTTCTCTTTGTTCTTCCTTCTCTCCATAAATTTGATCTGCCTTTTCAGTAAAAATAAATTTAAAAGAATAAGAAAATGACATCTCACTAAAACCAAACACGGTCTCTACACACACTTGCGAGCTTCCTCAAACTGGCAACTTCACCGAGGCCTCTTCATTCAGGCCCGCTGACACTTGTACAGTGGTTTCGGGTCAAGGTTTCCTGTGGGCACCAATGTGGTTTCCAGAAGGGCCTGGATCCATGCTGTTCACCCTAGTCCCAGACAAGACAGGGGACAGCTGTAGGGGCTCAAATACTTGAAAAAAAAAATCGGAATTTTTTTCTAAACATATGTGCAGGCCAAAAGAGCAGAATGCATTTTCCCACATGAGCCATATGCACTCTGGAGTTAAAAGGGACCCACATGGGCTTAGGAAGTGGAGGGTATTTTCCACCAAGCTGGGCACCAGGGCTGGCCAGCCCCTGACTGGTACCTGCTGTCCTCAAGACTGCACCAAGAGCATTGCTCTACAGAGATGCCCCGACTGTCGTGTTGTGAAGTCAACAAATGAGCTTGCCCTCGGGTCCCCTCCTTCCCTGCTGACCCTCCTCCTCCCCCTCCAGGACCTGAGGCTGGATGACTGGGTATGGTCCCCATACCACGCATAGGACTAAGGGTCAGGGGTCCTTAGATCCTGGATGAACTCTAGATCTGATGCTGCTGTGGAGTTCTTTCCTTCCCTGTGCCTCAGTTTCTCTCCCTGTAACTTGGGGGCATGATCTCTGAGGTTCCTTTTGGCTTTAACACTCTGTGACCTATATAATCCCGCCTGGGTGAGTGTCATTTGGTATCAACTAAGATCGGTCTATATTTCATTTAGACCCAACTGTGAATGTCCTGTCATTTATACTTGTGTTCTCAACAACCCCAGGAAATGCCAGGACCATGATCTCCATGTTGCAGATTTCCTAATAGAGGCTCAGAGAAGTTTAGTCAGTGAGTTGAGGTCACACAGCTATCTGGACAGCTGAGATTAGGTCTCTGACTGCATATCCAGGGCTGGTTTTCTCCTGTCCATAAGTGGCTCTCTGCTCTGGGGTAGGGACTGAAGGGTGGGGATGTGGGGTCTTGGCAGCTGTAGGGCCTGTAGAGCTCTGGCACTTGAACTGCAGAGTTGCAAGTGATCAAGCACAGTGTCTGCAGCCCTGGCTGGGTTTATAGCTTCATCCAGGCTTTCTGATGAGGCACCAGCTGCCCTTGGTGGTGCTGGCCCCTGGCTTGTCTTCCCCAGAGACCCCACCTACTTCCCCACTCCCACAACTGCCAGCCCTCTGAAGCCACCTCCTCCCCTACATCCGTGGGCTGAGGGCAAGGCAGGCAGGGCTGTGCTGGAGCCCGGGCTCAGATTCCTGTCCTGATGCGCTATAGCCAAGACGCCTCTTGATGCTTCTGTTTCTGCCAATTCAACCCTGCCGTGTGCATGCAGCCCTGGTTAGACTGAGCTTCTGCTTAGAGCCCGTGTGACCCTGGGAAAAGTGACTCTCTCGCCTGCAGCATCCCTCTCCAAGCAGGGGCGTCAGGTCCCTCGCGAGCGCTGATATTTTGGGTTCCTCTCTCACTGATGAGAGAGAGAGAGACAGAGAGAGAGAGAAAGAGAAAGAGAAATGCCGAAGTAGACACCCTGGAGAGTGCGTCAGACTGTGGGTTCCTCAACTCGGCGGCGGCAGGTATCACTCCTCCCCACGCCAAGGGCGCGCCCCCAATCCGGCCTCCGCAGACCCAGGCCCGGCCCTTACGCCTTGCACCTCCGGAAACGCGCGCGCAGCGTTAGAGCTGCGGCGGCAGCGCAGGGGCGGGGGAGGAGAGAAGCGCCCACTTGCCCCACCGCCTCCGCAGCGGCCCTGGCCCCACAGCCGGGCGCATCTACCGCGCTCCTCCGAACCCTTGGATTTGCTGCTCCAGTACTTGGCAGGCAGGGAGCCCAGGGCAGTCCCTGGATGACATGGAACCGACCCCTGTGGCAGAGCACGTCGCCGACTCCACCGAGCTAGCGCCGGCTGCTCTTTCATGCCCCAGCTGCGGGCGGGAATGCAGGGGACGCGGCCGCTAAGACGCCCCCGGCTCGCCCTCCCCATGTCCAAGAGCTGGGAATCACAGGGCCGGGTGCAAGGTCGCCCGTTTGGAGTCAGCGGGGCTGAAAGGGTGGTGGTGGTGGGGGGGAGGGGAGAGTTGGGAGCATCATTTAAGGCTGGAGCTGGGTCCAGACTCAACGCCTCCGGTCCTTCGCGTCCTGCCCGCATCCGCAGTTCCTGCTCTTTGCCCCGTGCCCCTCCCCCGCTCCGTCCCCGCCTCCCACCGGACTCCCGGGGCAAAAGGCAACCGCAGCCAGCACCTACTCCCTACCCGCAGTCCCTGCCCCCTCTGCCCGCCGCAGGGTCATCTACGTCGCTTGGGTCGACCCTCCCGCCCTATTGTGAGCGCCGAAAGCCGAGGGGCTAAAGTTTGGGGGATCATCAGGGCAGCCGCCAGGTGCCGAGGTCCCCGAGGTTCCAGACTCGGGGCGCGGGGAAGTCAGGACGCAGCGCTCGCCTCACCTGTTTCTCCAGCGGCTCCTTGGCAGAGAGCGTCGGCTTGGGGGAGGGCGCGCGGTCGCAGACGCAGCCCTCCAGTAGGTAGAGGCCCGATGGCCGTGAGCTCGAGTCGCTTTCGAAGTAGAAGAGCAGGTTCTGCAGGAGCGCGAACCACTTGGTTTGCCATTTTGTGTTGTCCGAACTCCGCTTGCTCAGGTACCCTTTACGCGTGCCATCCTTTCGCGCCAGCAGCCCCAGGGACGCGACGTGGCCATCGTTCAGCCGGATCCCCTTCTGCATGGTGCTCGGAGGCCAGCAAGACCCTGGCGCTTACATCTTCTCCGCGCGGCACCCAACAGCCCCCCGTCCTTGCGCGCCGCGCGCTGCCTCTCTCTGGCGCTCGCTCGCTCGCTCTCCTCCTCTTTCTCTCTCCTCCTCTCTCTCTCTCTCTCCGCCTCCCCCTCCCAAATATCTACACTCCAGGGTCCAGCGCCTTGCCGCGGCTCCTGGAATCCGGAGGTAACCGTGTCCGGCTGGAAAACCCTTTCTTCGTTTCGCAGAGCCCCGAGGCCCGGAAGACGGTGCCCGACCCTACCCAGGCGCGGGACAAACTGAGGGGCTGGCGAGCGGCGCGCTGGCTAAGGGGCAGGCGGAGTCATGTGACGCCGATCCCTCGAAGAGCCCGTTCCAGCAGCGCGGACAGGGACACGCACGCAGCCCTGCCGAGGCGCAGAGCGGCACGCAGGCTGCGCCTGGGCGCTCCCCACCCCCGTGCGCGCGCGCGCACTTACACACACACACACACACACACACACACACACACACACACACACACACACACACACACCCCTCCCACCGCTGGCCTCCCCTTCTCCTTTAAGGGGGTGTTGAGAACCAAATCAGATCAATTTTAGTTGAACTCAGTGGAATTCTGGAGGCTCCCCATTTTGGGACTTTGCGTCTTTGCGCCCCGTCGTGGCGCACTGGAGACTCGTCTGGGGTTAAGTCCCAGTACTGCTTTCCTCCCCAAAAGGCTCCCCCTCACTCCTGCTCCTCGCAAGGAAGAAGGTGGATGGCGAAACAGTTCTGGAAGCCCTCCTGTCCCGGTCTTTGCACCTCGGTGTCAGCACCCAGCCCGGCAACCTGAGGGCAGTACGGGGGTGAGGGGTAGCGTGGGGAGAAGGGCAAAGGGGTGGGACTGACGAGCGAGCATCTGTTTTCTTTTATTTTGAGCGTTGCCATAATTCATGGCGCCACCCCCTGCGCCCTGAGGTCTGGCTGGCGAGCGGCGGCTGGGATTCCTGCAAATATCCCGCACAGCCTGAAGGCGGGCTTCAAACGCAGGCGCCGGGGGCCATGGGAACCTTCAAATAGCTGCGCTGGCGCAATGATACCTTAATGATAGATTTTCCGTTCTTATTTTTAGCTTCCATTCGCCTACACAGTTACACGGCATTTATCCGAGAACGTCACAGCGCCCGCATGCTGCACCGGGAGGGCGCGCGGGCCGCCCGGCGAACGCCGCGCAAGGAGCGGGGAGCGCGCGCCGGCGTCTGCGGCAGAGGGCAGCCGGCTGGTTTCGAGGCTGGGGGTGCGGGGCGGGGAGCGCAGGGCAGGCCTGGCCGGGTTTGCAACCGGCAGGGGCATCCGCGCTGTGCTCGCTCAGGAGGAGAAAGGACTCTGGGTTTGCGCGCGGACCCTGCGGCGCCCTTCCCCCGCGACACGCATGTACAGACACGCGCGAGCGCGCGCCCTTGCACACACACATACATTCAGGTCTGGAGTGCCAGGGAAGAGTCTGAGGGGTTAGGTCCCTGGGTTAGATCCACAGAGGGCTCGGCCGGGGGAGGGTGGAGCGCATTCCTGGCTGTTCCGGGAGGGGAGCCATTCCGGGAGGATTGGGCCCGTGCTGGTCCCCGAGGCGATTTAGATAGGGACCACTGTAAGGACTTGGTGATGCTGAGCTTTCTTCACTGATAATGCAAGGGAAGAAGGTGATCGTCACCCCTTTCCTCCTGGTTTGCCCAGTCCCTGCGAGCTGTTCCTAGCTCTGAAGCTATTCCTGGAGACCTTTTCGGCCCTTTTTGAGGAAGCAGCTCCCAGGGGCCGCGAGACCCAGGCGGTGATTTGAGGGGGTTAGAGCCTGACGCATTCCAGGAACTCTACGGAGCAGCTTCGCGTTTTCCTCTGTTAGCTCCATTGCACAGACGGCGAAAGCTGAAACTGGGGGTGGTCGTGTGACTTGGGCAGGGCGTGTCTCTCAGCTAGGAAGTGGGAGATAGGGGATCTGGCCTGGACCAGGCTCTTTATGCAGCCAGACCGGTGTGTGGTCCCTGGGTTGCAGGGAGGTGGGATTTGTTGTAAGAGAAGGCTGGATGGCTCCCTGGGTCAGAGCCAAGGCTGGCCCTGAGTGGTGGCAGAGCCAGGACTGGTGGTGGTGTCTCTCTGGATCCGGAGCATCACCTGGGAACATTGAACAGCCACAGCCATAGGGTCCCAGGTGAGCTGTTCCCTTCTTCATGATACAGTGAAGTTATAGAAAAGAGGAGGTTGCCTTGTGCCTAGGTGCATCACCTGGGGGGTGCTACAAGGCAAACCCTCATCTGGTGTCTCTGGGTCAGGGCCCGAGAACCTGCATTTCTGACCAGCTCTGGGGATGTATTGCTTCCAGCTAGCAAACTTTGGAGGAGTTAGAGTCCTCGAGAGGTGACATTAGTGCATTAGTTCATTCCCTTTCTTCGTTCCTTCCTTGCTTGCTTCCTCACTCACTCCACTCACACAGCTCATTCCCCTGGTGTTCATTTAATCTCTAGCCTGTACCAGGCATGACTGGACAACCTAGGACAGTATTCTGACCCCCCACCCCAGTCCCATCCCTGCATGTTTGGGAAGAGCTCAGGAAAGGGATCATGCCCTCCCGGGGCAGATGTCATGCCACTGTCACTGTCCTTTGGAAGAACCCGGGGAGAATCTCTCTCTCTGCTCAGGCTGCACTGAGGTCCAGGCAAGCCAGAATCCCTGAGGGTGGGGATTTCTAATCCAGCTGTTTTCTTGGGTGATGTTCATATATCCATTCTCCTCTGCACTTGGGGAAGCAGAGCCAACCTTCCTTCTGGTCCTTGGCTCAAAGTCTCTGAGAAGGTGGCAGTCTGGCTACTAATGCCCCACCCCACCCCATCTTAGTGAGCTGCGTGTATGGTGACTTCTCTCCATTCTCCATGCAGAAACCTGAACAGAGCCTGTCCTTGGCCCTGCTATAGTCACTTCCCTGACTCCAGATCAAGTTTGAGGACGTCAGAAACCACTTAGGGGAGACTGGCTAGGGAAACCTCATTGATTGGACTGAGTGCACTATGGAACTGAGTGCGACGCCCTCCAGGCCTGAGGCTGGAGGGTGTCCACGGGAGCATTGGAGGTGCATCTAAGCTTGGCATTGCTTCACTGCATCCTCCTAGTAAGGAGTTTGGACAAGGCTTTGCAACACCGTTTCACTGATGGAGAAATCGGAGTACAGAGTGGCAGCAACATGCCCCAGAGTATAATGTGCAGGCAAGAGTAGGGGAGGGGGTGTCCCGGCCACTGCTTCAGAGTCCCCCCCCCCTCCCTGAAAACTGCCTCTCTGCAGCCTTCCGGCTCAGGCCTCTGCAAGTAAAGAATGCCAGAAGGGGAGTGAAGGAATGTTTCGGTGGCGTTGATCCCTGCTGGTTCTGACAGGAGTCTGGAGCAGGGTAAACCCTGCCAGGTCTTCATGAAGGATTCCTGGTGGACTTTGGACTTGTCAGTGTAGGTGTTGGAGAGTTTGGCTGGCCTGTAGCCCCTGGCTAAGGGACATGTGTGTGTGTGTGTGTGTGTGTGTGTGTGTGTGTGTGTGTGTGTGTGTGTGTATTTAGTTAGAGAATCTAGAGAATATTGCTCTTTCGGCAAAATACTCATGAGAACAATGTGGCTTCCTTTTCTTTTACGAGTGCGTGTAATCAAAAGCATTTTTGGAAAGAGTGTACTTCTCCAAACCAAGCCAGCATTGCCTAGGCACCTAAATGGGTGCTCCAGGGTGGTACACTTTAAACCGGTGAGACGAGTTGTATTTGTGCAGTTGATTGTACTTGTGAAGTGGAATCTTTCTGAAAAATCAATGCAGTATAAAGAGAAAGGCTCTTCAGTCACCTTTGGCCATGCAACCTTCTCAGAGTTTCTCTGTTTTTCAGAATAGGTTTTGGAATATATACTATATGATAATCTCTCTCTCTCTCGTTCTTTTAGAAAAATTAAAGAGAAAGAGAGGAGAGGGAATGAGAGCGAGCGAGAGAGGAACTGCTCTGGTTTACCTCTAAATGGTTGCGATGGCCAAGGATAGGCAAAGACAAATCAGGAGCTCAGGGCTCCGTTTGGGTTTTCCATGTGGGTGCAAGGGCCCTAGGACTCGGATCATCTTCTGCTGCTTTCCTGTGGGCATTAGCAGGATGCTGGTTGGAAGTAGAGTAGCCAGGCCTGAATCTGGCAGGGGATGCTGGGATGTCTGGGGACTAAACTCAATGAAGCACGCGCCAGCCCTGTGCACTCTTTTCACATAATAGTAGGTGGGGACTTCCCCCCCATATTACTGATCCTTTTTAAAAAGATTTGTTTTTATTGGAAAGGCAGATTTACGGAGAGAAGAAAAGACAGAGAGAAAGATCTTAGTCCACTGGTTCACTCCCCAAGTGGCTACAACAGTAAGAGGAACTGAGCCCATTGAAGCCAGGAGCCAGGAGCTTCTTCTGGGTCTCCCATGTGGGTACAGGGTCCCAAGGCTTCGGGTCATCCTCTACTGCTTTCCCAGGTCATAAGCAGAGAGCTGGATGGGAAGTGGAGCTGGATGGGACATGAACTGGTGTCCATATGGAATCCTGGCTCTTCCAAGGTGAGAATTAGCCACTAGGCTACTGTGCTGGGCCTAAATGAACTGATTCTTTACTTAGCCTGTGTGAGGGGCGGCAGGAGCACGGTTTTGGTACATACATGTCTAGAGTCTCAAGAGTTTCCCACTCTACCCCACCCTTGGTTTCAGTGTAAGCCTTAAGACTCTTCTCCTATCTCAATGGCACCTTGAGACCCAAGCAGTTGTCAGGGTGCTGGTACCCTCCAGGTGTTTCCCCGCCCCCCTCAACTTCTTTTGGTAGTTTGGGTATTTTCCAGTTTCTTGGTTGCCTCCTCCCCCTGCCTACCTTAGCCCATACCCATCTTGTGGTAGACTTAAGATAGTCTTATAATAAACAACTCTAGGATATGGGTGGGTTACATAAGTTGTGGTGGGCTACACA